TGGTCACTATTAAATGTCGCACAAATCTCTAGAAAAGTTATTACATGGGTGTAGGACTTGACTTTTCTAAAGATCCCTATCAAATTTAATGGTGATTCTTTGGGGTCCTACACACATGGGTGTGGGAAGGTCTCACAAAGTCATTATATATATATATATATATATGGGCGGTTGTGGGTTTGAGTTGTTCTCATAATGGGTTTGAGTTGTTCTCATAAGAATAATAACTAGTGCGGTTTGTATAGAGCCGAGGATTTAAATAATCAAAATAGAGTGCACTTTCAAATAGTGTCGAGAAACGTGGTTTCAATATTGAAATTTTTTGTGATAGCTTTAAAATATATTTTCATCTCTAATTATAAAATTTAAAGCTTACAAGATATTGTAGATTGAGCAGATCTATGAAAACTTGAAAATTGATAGTCAAACAATGCATTAAAAGATGCATTATTTCCAAACTTTGAAATTCATTTTTTCTTATGTCCATGTATCTTGATATCGATATGATCAACTTGAAAATATTTGGACATCAAAACAACCACTTCTAATGAAATTTTTGAGTTGCACTCTAATTTGATTGTTTAGAGCCTTGGCTGTATGTAAAAATTTTCCATAGCTAAAAGAGGGTATCGGTTGTAGTTATAAAAGATGAACTAGTTCGGCAGTTCAACTGATCGGATTATCAATCGGCGTTCCTATTTGAGCTTATAAAAAACCATTGTATGAAAATTTGGAAAGTATTTTAGTCGTGAATACTATTTTTACTATTTTCCTTCAAAATTTTGAATTTTTTTTAAAATACCTCCAATCACAAACTGATTTTTCAAAAATCTATTTTTTTACCACATTTAGATGTGTTATATTTAATTTTACTTTAAATATTTTTTTCCTTTTTTTTGAATTTTATATATATATTTTTTAAAAAACGTTTTTGTTTGTTGCTACAATGTTTGACCCTACTTGAGCTGAGTTGCTCGGACTCCAGCTGAGTACTCAGCTCAGGCATGAAATGAGGACTCGGTCGGAGCTCGAGTTCAAGCAACTTGTGCATAGAATGAGTACTCAGCCGGAGTGGTGGCTTCAAACATTGAAAAAAACTAGATCAAAATCCCGATTTTACATCTTAACAATGGCCTTGATCTCCCTATGCTAAAATGAGGCCATTGGAGGGGTGCCAATGGACCTGATTAGACTGGACATAGGGTTCGAGTATTGGTCCAATTTTTGGACCTGATGGGTTAGGTTCGGGTTTAAAACCTAGATCCAAACATTATTCAGGTATGAGTCTGGGTCCAGTAGGACCCGACCCATGCCTGTAAACTGTTGGAAATTAAATGTTTTACTTTAAGCTCTATTCGTTTGGGTGTATTAAGAATCATATAAACTAAGAACTTTTAGTCATATTTAGTTATTAGACGATAAATCATACAATTTAAAATCTAATAATGGGTAATTGAGGCCTTGTTGCTAATAATATAGGTATAAGATGATTAAAAAAAAAAAAAAAAAAGAGAAAAGCTCGTAGCCATAGGGTGGCAATGGACCCGATCGGACTTGGAGCCAGTCGGGTGGTTTTAAGTTTTGGACAATTTGGGTCCGGGTCTAGCCGGATGCGACGACCCGCTGACACCCCTAGAGCGCTGACACCCCTAGAGCACTGTTGTTATTGTATGCAATTTTGTTTTTTAAGCCAAATAGCGGTTTGACTTTTAGGGTTTTAGCGTCTCTCTCTCTGCATTGTCGTTTCTATTTCGCACGCTCTCGTGCACGACTTTCTCTCTGTACTATTCGTCGTTCTTTGACTCCTAATCCTGCTTCTTCCGTCCCTTTCTGCTTTATGCTCCCTCTCTTCTTCATTTTGGTTATCTCCCTCTAGGATCTCTACTACTCTTCTCTCTCTCACCCTTTAGCGCTCTTCCTCTTCAAAGTCATCAATCATTGAAGTCCAATTCCTTCTCCTCCTTGCCGTCAGTTTCAACGTTAGCAGCGCTCTCGACAACCCACCATGAACCTGGTTGCAGGCACCTATGACCAGGTAGTATGGGGCTTCAAACTCAAAATCCACCATGAAAACGAAACTGAGCAAGCGCTTCTCTCCCCCACCTTCTCCCATCATGCCCAACTCTCTCCCATCAAAGCTCTGAGTGTTTCAGGCCCCATTGCTGCCTCCTCGTGTTCAGATGAAACAGTTCGGGTATTTGACATAAACCAACGAGCAGAGATTGGAACCCTAATCCGTGACAATGGAGCTGCCTCTTGCCTCGCTTTCTATGGCTTTAGTCCTAAAAATTCATCCATCAATTTCCCTGTACATCTTATCACTGGTTCAGAGCAGGGTTCCATCTCCATTTTCGATGTCGAAGCTCTGGTTCACTTGAAATCGATTCGAGCTCACAAGAAAGGTGTAAATGACCTAACAATCCACCCAACTGGTAGGGTTGTACTGTCCATCGGTAGGGTCTTATCACTGGTTCAGAGCAGGGTTCCATCTCCATTTTCGATGTCGAAGCTCTGGTTCACTTGAAATCGATTCGAGCTCACAAGAAAGGTGTAAATGACCTAACAATCCACCCAACTGGTAGGGTTGTACTGTCCATCGGTAGGGATTTGCAGTTGTGTATGATGAATTTGATAAAGGGGAGGAGGAGTTTCGGTTGTAAGTTGCAGAGAGAGGCATCATTGATTAGGTATGGGTTGGATGGGAAGACCTTCTTTGTGGCGACTGAGGGGGTGATTTCTGGCCATGATTCAGAGGATGCGAGGTTGCTTTTTTCCATGGAGAACTCAAAGAGGGTCAATTGCATTGCACCTGCTGAGGTTTGGTCTTTCGTTCTCATTTTTTTCCCCTCTCTCTTATGTCATTGTCTCTCTCCATCTCTTCCTTTATTTTTTTTCTTTCTTTTTTATAGAGAAGAGTGAAATGTACATGTTGATGAGAGGTCTGAGAGAAAACAAGAGAATTTTTGTACTTACGAACAATGAAGCCACTAATAACCAAGCAAAGTTCAGTTGTTTTAATGACTTTGAATTGATATTCCAACACAAAAAGTAGCGACCTTTTAAATTGTCATTTCCTGTTATTTCTTTTAATGTTCCATAGAGATACTCATACAAATTTACGTTTAATTTTACATTGAGGCAGTCAAATCAATATGATTATGAATGCAATGTTTTGAATTATGAAGAATTGCCAGTTTTTTAATGGTTGATTTAAAGGGTCTACGGCTAGTAAGTCTCATGACTGTTGATTCTCTAGAGGATGTAAACATCAACTGTTGATATGAACATCACTTTAAAAAAAAAACATCATGGCAATAACCCCATGTTGAAGCCCATAGCAATAACTATTATGTGACAAACTTGTATTTTGTCCATAATTTTAATTGAAACACCTCGTCACTTTTTGACATATCTATAAAATCTTTGCCCCTCTCCAAAACTCTAATTCACATAACACCCAGTGTTTGAAAAACCGCTAGGCAGCCGTGGGGGTCCAGGCTGTCCAGTGCCTAGGCAAGCGCCCAGAACTTGGGTGGCCCAATTGAAAGAAAAAAGATATAATTTTTGAGAATTTTGATATTTTATAATCTATCCATAATCCATATTTAATATTTCCATGAATGAGGAATTGAGGAGAAGTCGAAAAGAGAATTTTGATAATCCATAAGACCATAATCCATATTTTCATACAATGCTAAAACGGTAAAACCATGCAAGCATACACTGATAGTTTGATACACACAAAAGTTAGATAGTATCTGATACACACAAAAGTTAGATAATAGAAACTAGAAACTAAAAATAAGAAAAATAAAATATACAGTCTAGGACACAATACTATAGTAGTTAACACTCAACAGTCAACACTAAGAGTTAAGCACTCAAGCGTCTTCAACTCTTCATTATTTAGTCGTCATCGTCATCATCAGAAGGAATAGGGTAAACCTCATCATATGTATTAGATTCGAGATCATCATCATCAAAGTCATCTCCCTCCTCAACATAACGCTTGTCCTCCTCTGTTTCTTCTGAATCTGCCTCTTCCTCCTCTTCTTTTTGTACCTCTCTCTTACTATGTGTAGATGAGGCACTAGGAGTCTTGGCTTCTCAACGATTTTCTATCTTTTTGTGCTTCCCTGAACTTAAATATTGTATGATCTCCTCCATAGTAGCCTCAGGAACATTTTTACAGCCTCATGAATATTTTTACACGGGGCAACATCCCCCTTAATTATGGCAAGGTGTTTTTGAATCAGTAAATACCCTCATTAGTATCCTTTCCACAATAATTACATTTAATATGATTTTTGTCATTTGGATTCGGGTTATAACCTTACTTCCAACTTGGATCACCACTTCTAGAAGAACCTGAAGAAGATATTTCCATAGAATAAGGCTTATTTTCATCATTTTTTGGTTCTTCTAAATTCAGAAATTGTCTAATCTCATCCTGAATAGCTTCAGGAACATTTTTACAAGACGCAACATTCTCTTTAATACTGGCAAGATGTTTCTTGAATCGGTTAATACCCCCATTGGTATCTTTTTCACAAAAATTACACCTTATACAATTTTTATTGTTTGATTTTAGGTTATGACCATACTTCCAAACCGGATCACTTCTTCTAGTAGAACAAAAAATAAACCTATTTAAATGACAAGGATTTTGTTCCTGTTTGTGTTTTACAAAACTCATATATTGCTTAATCTCAACTCTGATAGCTTCAGGAACATTTTTACATGGGCAACATCACCCTTAATATCAGTAAGATGTTTTTTAAACCAGTTTATGCTCTCTTTTTTATCTTTTTCATAATAATTGTGTCTAATGTAATTTGTCATTTGGATTCAGGTTATATCAATATTTTCAACCTGGATCTCTACTTCGATTAGATCCTGAAGAAGTCATCTCAAAATAAAACAAGTAATCTAGAAAATAAAGTTTTGCACTTATTTTGATTGCTTGAACTCTAAACTTCCACCTTTGAGATGTTTTTTGGTACTAAAATATTCAATAACACCTTCTAATAGTTAAAAAACTCCAAAACTAAATCTAATATAACTGAGTGGTGTTTGGATCCATTTTCCGTAACTTTGAAAAACACTTCGATCCAATGAAAATCACAAAATGTAGTTTTTTGGAGTTTTCTCTCTCTAAAATCGGTTCTTGTGGGTTTAGCTTTCAAATGAACCTAAAACCCACCATTAAAAGCTTTCATTGTGTTTAAAAAACTCAATAGAATAAAAAAAGAAGAAGTCATTTCTACCTCTGGGCAGGGCATAGGCCCTGGGTGCTGGGTGCCCGCCTAGGGACCACCGCCTAGTTTTGCCACCTAGGCCTGGGCGATGCGCCCAGGTCTTCTATAAGCATTGGGCAGTTCGCTTTTTGAAACAATGCTAACACCCTACTCCCAAGTCCCAACTTTTGGTATCTTAGGTATCCATTAGAAATTGTCAACTATTCCTCCGTAATTCAGTCGCGGAGGGGGTGGTGGTGTTCGGGGTGGGTGGTCGTTTGAGGGAGTGAGTTGAGACCAGTTTTTATGCCCGCTTTCTTACCAACTGCACCCATATTCCTCCATAATTCAGTCACGGAGGGGGTGGTGGTGTTGGGGGTGGGTGGTCGTTTGAGGGAGTGGGACCAGTTTTTATGCCCGCTTTCTTGCCATCCCCACCCATATTAAATATCCAGATCCATCAATTATGGCTGCCCTCTTTGATGAACAGTCTAAATTGCCCAGTGGGAACAGTTTCTGAAACGTGGGTCTAGAAACTAGGCTCCCTTGTTTTGCTTGTGAAGCAGTTATATTAAATTTAGCAACACAAAATGACTATCTATAACATTAAAACTAAACATACAGGATAATAGTGAAACAGAACCAATAATAACAATCTCTATTGAGCAATCCACTAAAAGGAAGGATCTCTTTGGAGACAGAGATGACAAGGTTCAAAACTCTATTTTCCATATTCTACTCATTTGTCCAATTCATCAACCACACAGCTAGCTTTTCCTAAGTTGTGTTGCACTACCCAGGAGATCCATGTTTGATCTTTGAATTTGTGTTTAGATTCAAAACATTAACCTTGAATTAAAAAGTGCCTACCAAACATTGATTTCCAGTGGTTGTTAAAATTTATTAGCAATAATCATTCTTCAAAAAGACCCATCTAACAAACAATATGATGCAGATAAAAATTTAGAAAGTGCACAAAGATAAGGTGGGGCGTGAGTTTTAGTAGGATTGGGGATATGATTGATTTTAATATTGGGCAAAGAGATTTAGGTCTCATATTTTGAAGGATTTGGGAGATTTACGTAGAGATTTATAGGAGATTTAGATAGAGATGATTTATAGGGAAGATAAAGTTTAGGAAATTTTGGTGCGTGAGGATTTAGGAAAATAGGGAGGAGAGAGAAAATAGGGGGAGAGAGAAAATAGGGAGAGAGAGGTGGCATGTGAGGTTAAGAGAGAGAAGAAAGGGAAGTACATATTTTTTTAGAAAGGGGTTTTATTTTATTTGGGTTTTATTTAGTTATTTATTTATTTTATTTGAAGTGTATTTAAAGGGAAGAGGTCCCTCATTGTAAACATAAAAGAGAATAATCAGAGAATGATCAGAGAATGAGAGTTGAATAAAGTTGATCTTGTGATAAGATCTTTTTGGGGTGGATTCCCTTGCAGACCTTGTTTTTGAGGTGGATTCCCTTGTAGATCCCGAGAGGGGTTTGTTCTCTCAACGATTTTCTTTATTTTATTGTTATTGTTCCAGTTTTATTATGTTCCTATCAGTGTTTCAAAAAGCGTTAGGCGGGTCCTAGGCGGCCTGGTGGGTCCAGGCCGCCCAACGCCTAGGCGGGCGCCCAGAACCTGGGCAGCCTAGTTGAATCCAAATAAGGATTCTGCAGTGCAGTTATGTCAGTATCAATTCTATGTATTGCAGTACATAATTCAAATTATACTACATATTAGCATTTAGCAACACACTCCACAAACATAACTATAATCTATAAATCGGTTCATACTCTATATCCAATTAAAACTTATAATTTACAACCAACGAAAATATCAAACCAAGTTATCAAATAGTATCACACCAGTACTGCAGTACACCACCATGAGGAAGAAAACAAAATTGAATTATGAAAGTATGAAAGTAATACTTAAAGACTCAAAAGAATCTTCAATAGTTCAATACACAATACGTCAATCAAAGTTCAAACTTCAAAGTTTAATAATTATTCAACAATCAATGTTCATCATTCATTCATCATTAGAAAATCTTGGGTCAGCTGCATTGGCATCATATTCATCGGCGTCGACGAAGTCTTCACCCTCCTCGACATATTGGTCATCCTCGTCTTCCTCCGTCTTTTCTGAATCAGCCTCTTCTTCCTCCTCTTCTTCCATCCTTATTATCTGTGCAGAAGATCTAGTGGGCCTAGGAGGGTCAGCTGATGTCCCTGAAGCATCCATGAGCATGTCCCATGTCAATCATGTCCTTGACAAACCTGTCCTTCAAGAACCGATTATCTCTCTTAACAAACCTGTCCTTCAAGAATCGATTATACTTGACATAGACTAGGTCATTGAGCGTCTTTGATTCAAGCCTGTTCCTTTTCTTTGTATGAATCTAACGAAATCAAATGAAAGTATGAAACTAACTAAAATCTAATATCTATGGTTCATGTATTATTTATAAAATTATACAAATTACCCTTACGACCTTACCCATTCAAAAGTACTCCAATTGCGCTCACAACCGGATGAAGAAGTGGTTAGGTTTAAGATCCGAATGGCCAACTTTTGTAAATTTGGAGAACTAAACCCATGTGGGCTGCAAAGATATAGAATAAAATCATAAATAAATAATAGAATTGCTTGATTACTTGAACTTGAAGAACTTAAGAATATTATTAATACCTGGATCAATTTTGGCCC